TGTTTATTGAATACATCATCTATGACTATTGATGGTGACAATGATTAATCGTAATTTTAAATTAGGTCGCAAATTCTTTATTGATTCTTTTTTCGCTATTTCAATTTTGTATTTGATTTCGGTATAGTTGATTTTTGACAAGCATAAAATAAAAAGAAATAATATATTAAAAAATAAACGTGTTTGTTCATTTTTTGCTTTTGCCACTTTTCTTGCCTTTCTTTTTCTTTTTGGCTTTGAGACCCTGAATATATGGTTATAATGAATATTGAACAAAAAATAAATTGAAATTTACCTTTCGAACTTTGTAACCTTGCCAAAAACGTTGAATATCTCCAGCTGCTCTCCAACGATTTTCACGCAGTTCCTTCTCTCTGGCCAATCGTTCATCTTCAGCTTTACGTTCAGCCATAATCTATGTTAAAAAGAAATTTATTTTTTCTTCGTTAATATAATACATGTATAGAAAAATTTTTAATACTTTATCATATTCTTCTTTTAATTTTTCAAAACGTTCTTCAAGCTCTATAAGTAAACGTTTTTCTTCTGTATATGCAGTTTCAATTTCATCATATTCATCCTAAAAGATTTTATTAATTCACTAAATTATTAAATATTCTTATAAGCTAAAATATCTACCTGCTTTTGACGCATTTCATTATCGTATTTTGTTAACCATGTTTCAAGTCTTTAAAAAGAAAAGAAAAAGAAAAAGTAGATAATTTCTTATTGATTTAGCATAAGCTTCAAAATCTTATGTATTCCGGAAGATTTAAATCCGTATTAACTAGATCCGATGATCGAATCTTTCAATGTGTTGATAATCAGGATTTAAAAAACGAAGATGTATAAACTGATCAACTAAGCGATCTTTACTACCGACCAATTTTTTTTTTTTTAGTAAAATATTTCAATTACTGTTGCTGATCTATATATTGGCTTACATAATTATTTGACAAGAATAATTTCTTGGTCTCAAACAATCTCTTTATACTTATACATTGAAAAGATTTGTTAATAGCATTGTACTTATTTTCTCTCGTTTTCATACTACATTAAACACGTATACATTGAATCATTTAATTTTTGACAACTAGTAATTTACGTTGAATATGATCATCTATAGATAAAATGATTAATCTGGTTCAATTTATATGATTCGTGTTGAATGAATAAAATGATTATAGCCAAAAAAAAGAAAATGAATTCTTAATGAAACTATAAAAATCAATATAATGAAACGCTATTAGAAGATTACTATTCGAAAGAATTAAAATGATTAAAAATAAATAAATAAATAAATAAAACAATATCAACTATAATATTCAAATTGATTCAATGAAATATTTTTTAGATTACCCTGTTTCTTGACGCCATTTTTCTTTACGTAAATCTGATTCTGTTTTTTTATTTCGTTGTTGTTGTTCTTGTAATTTTTGTCGACACATATTTATATCCATTTGTAATTTATGTCTTGAAATATACACATAAGAAAAACAAAATATTTTTGTTATTTTGAAAAATTATGAATAAAAAAAAATATATATATTAATATTCTACCGTCTTCCTTCAGAATTTTTTGTTTCTGATATTTCAGCTGATTCTGTTTCCATTCGAATTCGTTTAAGCATTTCTTGTTGATTACGCTCAACATTATTAAGGTCTGATTGTATCTTTCGAATTTCATCATTACGGGCTTTAATCTACAAGCAATGAAAAGGTTTCATTAATGATACACAAGGACAATAAAGAGAATAATTATGAGCACTTTACTATCCCTTTTATCTTATTCCATTGATTCACGTGATAGGTGAAGGATTATAGTGAATATCAACATCTATATTAACGATTGAGGTTATCCTACCCATTAATGTATTTGTCTGATTAATCATATATTATCAAGGACACAAAAAAGACAGATAGACAGATGTTAATGTCAAACTGGTATGCATGCAATAAGAAGTACACCGCATTTTGTTAACTATCCTATTTCCAGTCTGTCTCTTGTGTCCGTTTGACCTCTTTATAGCGAGAAAGAACGAAGAGAAAAAAAAAACGACACATCTAGAAAGAATTGGTTTATTAAGCTTTCTTTATCTGTCATTTGTATCTCTCTCTCTCTAGGTTTGTTCTCTTCTGTTTATCTATCATTTAAAAAAAAAAGAATAACATGAGTACAACCTTATATGATCAGAATTCATCAATGGATATGATGCAAATATCCGAAAGTTTATCACTAACAAATACCAATGATCCCCTAACATCAACAATAGAATATATAGATCTAAGTCTTGATGAAAAATATCCATTAGATGATATTTTAATACATCAACTATGTAAGTGAATCAGTGTTTCTTTATTCCAATTTCAAATTTCAAATTTAGATCATAATGATGATATACCATCATTCTTAAATAAAAAACATAAATCATTAATGTCCATCTATGATAATAATCTACAACAACCAATAACTGATTTTCCTCCATTAGTTGGTATAATCGGTCGAAGTCAACGTTCACAAGCATTTACAAAACGTCTTTTATTATCAGGTTTTCCAAAACCAATTTTATGTGATATAAATTCAAATGAAAATGATCTAAATGATAAATCTAATTATGTATCATATGAAAGATTTTATCAATTATCACCAACAATTGTTCTTATAACTGATGATTTAACAAGAAATTTTGATGATTTATTTCCTCAAGATAAATCACAATTAATAATTGATGCTCGAAAAATATATATTAAATATTTTTCAAAGAAAAATTCTTATTCATTATTATCTATACCTGGTTCATATCGAGCTTTTGGAAATTTATCAAATTGGGAAATTGAAAATGGTACAAAACGTATTGGAGTTGCAATTGAACAATTTCCACCATTAAATCTTGTAAAATTTATTTATGATTTAAATTGTTTTTCACGTGGAATTTTTTTTCTTGATCAATATTCATATAATTATCAACAAATAAAATCATTTCGTCATTGTTTATTTCCATTTATATCAACAACAATTATATTTAGTTTATGTGTTATTTTTTCAATGATACAACATAATCATGATATTATAAATACAGTATTGATCTATCGTCAAGCAAGTTCTATAACAGCATCAACAAGTATAATGTTATTAGCATTATTATTTTTAATAAGACCAGTATTTGACTTAATTGAATTTATTTATTTAGTTTTATTAAAAAGACAAAATATTCATGGTAAATAATATAAATTAATGTTTGTTTTTTTTTTTCTTGAAAAAACTTTTTTGTTTTTTTGTATTTAGAAAATGTTATATCAAAATTAACATGTATTCAATATTGTCTTCAATCAAAACATTATTTAGTATGGTATTCATTATCATTCGCTTTATTACATATATTATTTTTAATTTTTTCAAAAATTAATTTTAATTCAAATTTATTCATTTATGGTTTCTTTTTTGGTATATTTACTTTAATATTATTATTTATTTTATCTTATATTCATTTTCCATGGATAAGTGAATATCTTTCATGGAATGAATATCATTTTTTAATATCTTATCTTGGATCATTTTGTTTATTAATTGCTTCTATTCATGTTTTTCTTCATTGGAAATTTGATTCATATTTATTTAATTTAAAATTTTTATCAATAATTTTATTATTTATTGTATTAATATTACGTTTTATTATTTATGGAATTATACATCCAATTTTAAAATTAATTCAATATATTAAAAATCGACCATTACAAAATTCATCACTATAATTATCAATATATTATTAGGATATTCTTCTATTGTATTATATTTCTGTATAGCAATCATGATGAAAAGAAAGATAATGATCATAAAAAGGACAAATGGTTAATAATAGACGGTATATGCGACAGATGTGATAATTCAATGACGAAAAACAATTGAGATAAAAAATACAATTTCCACCGACTTACTTCAGCATCACGCTCAGCAACAGCATCATTAAGTTCTTTTTCAAGTTTAGCAATAATAGCTTCATTAGATGAGAGACGTGTACTTAAATTATTCATTTGTTCAAATTTTTCACGTTCTTCATGAGGTGTTGTTAAAAATCTTTCCATTGCAGATTCTCTTAACATTTTTAATACACCTAAATATATATATATATATATATGTGAAAACCAAAAAAAAGAAAAAAAAATATTCTTTTATAATACAAACGCATAATATCTTTTTGTTGTGGTAATAAATTATTATTTTGTAAAATACGTTTAATAGCATCAAAACGATTTTGTTGATGAAGAAGACGACGAAGAACATTATGAATTGATTGTTGAATATAATAATGATAAGCAATTTTTTCATTAGCATTATTTGATAATGATTTATCAAAACGACGTATATAATTTTCAAATTGTGGCAATTTTTCTAAAGAAGAAAATTTTAATTTTTATTAGTTTGAAAAAGAAAAAGAAAAATCTTTTTATTTTACCAATAATATTCGAAACCGATTGAAGTGATGCATTAGTTTCATATGCTTGTTTTAATTGTTCATGTTTACGTATTTCATTCATTGTTTCACTAAATAAAATAATTATTTATTCAAAAAAATTAAATTTTAAGATATATATATATATCATACGTATCAATAATTGATTTAAATAAATCTGTATGTGAATTAATTATAGGTAACATTTCAATTAATTCCATTTTTTGTACAAGATCATCAAAAACAATCATAATACGTTGAGTTTCAATAGTTGATAATTTTGAACGAGCTGGCTCATGTAAACGTAATGGATCTAATTGAAGACGAATTGGTTTTACATCAGGTGTACGTGATTTATTTAATGGTGATATTAATGATGGTGAACTCATCATTTTTTTTTTTTTGTAGAAGAAAAGATAAGTACAAAATAGTTTATCTAAAAAAATAGAAAAACATTAGTTACAGCTGTTATCACATTAACGAAACATGTATATATAAGCATGCAAAAAAGATTCGATATAGGCAGAAAAAATCAATCGAACATTAACCATGAAGTAAGTAGAATCGTTTTTTGTTTTTTTTCGTATCTATACTTGAAATTTATTTCTTTTAGTATCTATTGGATTTTTCTCATTGTTGCAATAATAATTCCTACATATTTGACGAGTAATTTGGCCACTACTAATAGAGACAACGTAAATAATCTTGAATTTACTATATTTCGATTGGCGCCTGGAGGCATACAGGAATGTGATGATTTTCGTCACAATGTTAAACCATTTGATGATGGTACAGATAATGAAGAAGATTATCTGAAAGTTGATTGTGCAAGATATCAAAGTGCTTTGACATGTTACAAGATTTTTTATCCATTATTGGATGATAACAATCCATCAGATCAGGCAACAAAGAAGGAATTGGATAATATTGATCTTGCTTCAATTGAAAATGCATGTCGTCAATATGTTTAACATATTTTGAATGAAAACGAAAAAGAAAAATTATATTCAAACGAAATAAGAAATATATCAGTTTACTTTTAATTTTTAACAATTGAAAGTTTTATTATCAATAATAAAAAGAAAATAATCTTGGGTGAATGTATCTTTTTTGTTTTATTAATAAAAAATAAATATAAAATTTCGATTGTTCTTTTTTGTTTTCTGCATATCTATCGATAACTCAAGTTTAAATCTAGACAACAACAACAACTGTCGTGTATCTGACAATTTATATATCAAAAGTCTAGGTGTATTATAATTTATACTTAAGAGAAATATGTCTTTTTGAGACATAATATCGAGGCGTATAAGATACCTACAGAAACATTTTTTGTTTTTTTTGGTGTTGGATTTCCATTCAAACCATCAATACACCTCAGTCAGAATTATATTAAACACCGGATCGATCAGGGCTTTTAGTAAAAATATTGAAAATAACATCAATGCACTAAAAATGTTTTAATTAAGATTTGGCAAGAAAAGGAAATTTTTTCGAAATTCAGATAATAAATTACATTTTTCCTTCTCTTTTTTTTTTCTAGGTATCTATTAGTTATAGTGTAGAGAATATATCGAATCATTTGCTTAGTTCTTTTTTTATACGATTGAGTAAAACAATAGTCTTTGGAATTCAGTCCTACAAAGAAGGTTAACACTTACATCTACACCCCTCAAGATAGTAGCATTGATGTTGCATTATCAGTTTTATTTGTATTCACAATAACTGTACTGCGACACGTATTATTATTTTTTTCTTGATATTAATTAATCGATTTTTAGCTTCTTTCATAAGGACAGATGCCAGATATATGTGACAAAAATATAGTCATATGCATAGAATAAAATAAATTTCTAGCACTATATATCAGTCGTCCGATATTAACCGTTAGAATAGGAAGATATCCAGCACTCTACATATAATAAGAATCCGATAGATATCTATCTATGTATGATATAATAAATATAATTCATAAATTCTTATAAACTAATGTTTGTATTCTGATCAATACCCTAAATTTCAAAAACATAAAAATGCAGCCTTCGAATTTTCTCGTCACTCAAAACAAAACAAAGGTCAATTCATAAGATTAAATTGCAGGAAAATTTCATTCTAATAAATCTCGTACAGGTAGATGTCTCTCGTAAAACTTTTATAAATAATAAAAACCTGAATTGAATAAATGATAATATTCATGTATTAATCCAACAATAATCGAATATATCTAAAAGTAAAAATTCACACTGTTTATTTCAATAATAAATAGCATCTCTATGCCATTAACTTTATCATATCTATGGCAACTATATATTCCTATTTGTTTAATGATTTCAATCAAGTGCATAAGTATGTTATAATAAATTGATTATATTTATAGAAATAAAATTTTATATTTAATAAAAATGAAAAAAAAACAATGAATTTTTATTTTTATTTGTTTTTTTTCCATACTTAGAATTTTTCTTATTCAAATATTTTCCTAATGACTATAGACATTCACATGAATATAAAATTGATGGTAGAATAAAGAAACAGAAAAAAAAAAGAAAAGAAAATCTAGGGGTAATTTCGTCCTCTGTTCGTTCATCATTTTTCTCTCATTATATTTAGCATTCGAATGTAAACAGCTGATAAATATAGAGGCTAGAATAAAATCTATCTATAGATATATTATATATATATGTGTCTATATTACCTCGTTAGATTATTCTAGTCGATTTCTCTCGTTTTTTTTTTATGTCGAGTGTCCGTCCAATTTAAATTCTTCTTCATAAACATTCACATATCCATATTCTTATTCCACTTAACTTGTATCGTCTCTTTTTCTAGATATGACCAACACTGACGAACTTACTGTAACAACAACATCAATAACAATTATTGATACCAATGTTAGTACATCTAATACAAATATAAAATCACTTGTTGATGATTTAAATTGGAAAGAAAAATTAAAATTACCACCAAAAGATAATCGACCAAAAACAGCCGATGTTACTGCAACTAAAGGACATAATTTTGAAGATTATTGTCTTAAACGAGAATTACTTATGGGTAAATAAAACAAAATGTGTTTTTTTCTTTAATAAAAAAATGTTTTTGTTTTTAGGAATTTATGAAAAAGGTTGGGAAAAACCATCACCCGTTCAAGAACAATCTATTCCAATTGCATTAACTGGTCGTGATGTTCTTGCTCGTGCAAAGAATGGTACAGGTAAAACAGGTGCCTATACAATTCCAATTATTGAACGTATTGATCCAAATAAAAATGCTGTACAAGCAATAGTCTTAGTTCCAACACGTGAATTAGCATTACAAACAAGTGCTATTTGTATGGAATTATCAAAACATATACAATTACGTGTTATGGTTACAACAGGTGGAACATCATTACGTGAAGATATATCACGTTTACAAGATATTGTTCATATTATTATTGCAACACCTGGTCGTTTATTAGATTTAGTTAATAAAAATTTAGCTAAAGTTGATTTATGTCGTGTTATTGTATTAGATGAAGCTGATAAATTACTTTCACAAGATTTTAATCATTTACTTGATGAACTTTTATATGCTATGCCACATGATCGACAAATTATGCTTTTTTCAGCAACATTTCCATTAACTGTCGATGATTTTATACGTAAACATATGAAACAAGCATATGAAATAAATCTTATGGATGAATTAACACTTAAAGGTATAACACAATATTATGCATTTGTACAAGAACGACAAAAAATTCATTGTCTAAATACACTTTTTTCAAAGGTATAAAAAATTTAATTTTAAGAAAATAATTATTTTATTTTTATTTTTAAATTTTAGTTACAAATAAATCAATCAATTATTTTTTGTAATTCAACACAACGTGTTGAACTTTTAGCTAAAAAAATAACTGAATTAGGTTATAATTGTTATTATATACATTCAAAAATGCGACAAGAACATCGTAATCGTGTATTTCATGATTTTCGTACTGGTCTTTGTCGTAATCTTGTTTGTTCGGATTTATTTACACGTGGTATTGATATTCAAGCTGTTAATGTTGTTATTAATTTTGATTTTCCTCGTTACAGTGAAACTTATCTGTAAGTAAAAATGAAAAATTTTGAAATTCGAATAAATAAATAAAATATATTTAGTCATCGTATTGGTCGTTCGGGTCGTTTTGGTCATTTGGGTATAGCAGTCAGTTTAATAACATATGAAGATCGATTTGCTGTACACAAGGTTGAACAAGAATTAGGTACAGATATTTTACCAATTCCACGTCATATCGAAGAAAATCTTTATGTGGCTAAAGTACCAGCTATTGAACAATTATCCGAAGAACAACAGCAATAATTAGATCAATGAACAGTCAGATCTTTTTTTTTCTCTCTCACTCTCACTCTCTCTCTCTGTGTTTTACTAGTCAAAAGCAAACATTGATGATTTCTAACATCAGATATGATATATATGTGTGTGTGTGTGTGTGTACGCAAAATTTTATTCTACGTTTCTTTTTTTTTTTTGTGATCGATTGTTCTTGCATTAAAACGTTTTTTTTTTTTTTTTATTTTATGGATAAAAAAGAAAAAGATACGATAAACATATTAAAATAAGAAAACGTTTATATTCTACTTTAGATATCAAACATTATTATTCTTCGATAGAATTGACAATTTATTCACAAAAAGAAAAGAATTTTAATATAAAACATTCATTTAAATTTGTACATATAATAGTTTTGTTTCATTTGTTCTTTTTTCTTTTCCTTTTGTGTTAACCATTCAATTATGATCGGTGGTTCATCAACAGGAGGTAAAACTTCATCATCATTAGTACCATTTTCTTCAACAAATACAGATGGTTATGATAAAAATAAAATAAATAATGGTAATACATCTACAACAAATTCAACAATAACAATAAATAAAGATGATCCCGATTGGAAATCAAAATTAAACATTCCAGAACAAGATCATCGTGCTAGAACATCCGATGTTACAAATACAAGTGGTCATGATTTTGAAGATTATTGTCTTAAACGAGAATTACTTATGGGTAAACAAAATAAAATGTGTGTGTGTTTTTTTAACCTTTAATTAAAAAAATATTTTTGTTTTAGGAATTTATGAAAAAGGTTGGGAAAAACCATCTCCTATTCAAGAACATTCAATTCCTATAGCTTTAACCGGTCGTGATGTTCTTGCTCGTGCTAAAAATGGTACAGGTAAAACTGGTGCATATACAATTCCAATTGTTGAACGTATTGATCCAAATAAAAATGTTATACAAGCAGTTATCTTAGTTCCAACACGTGAATTAGCATTACAAACAAGTGCTATTTGTATGGAATTATCAAAACATATACAATTACGTGTTATGGTTACAACAGGCGGCGCATCTGTACGTGAAGATATTGCTCGTTTACAAGATATTGTTCATATTGTTATAGCAACACCTGGTCGTTTATTAGATTTAGTTCAAAAAGATTTAGCTAAACTTGATTCATGTCGTGTTATTGTATTAGATGAAGCTGATAAATTACTTTCACAAGATTTTAATCATTTATTAGATGATGTTATCTATCATTTACCACAAGATAGACAAATTATGTTATATTCAGCTACATTTCCATTAACTGTTGATGATTTTATTAAAAAACATATGCATAATCCATATGAAATAAATCTTATGGAAGAATTAACACTTAAAGGTAAATATATATGTATATATATATATCGTAAGGGATTCGTTGTCATTTTGTCACGAACTATATGATACTTTTTTCTGTAAGCAAAATAAATAAATGTGGAAACCTCGGATTTAAATCCGAGAGTTATGTGTACTTCAAAAAGTGAATCAGACAGAGGAGTCACCCTAGAATGTATGAACATCAAAATTGCCCTGGCAAACCCTTTCTGTAAACACTTAATTTCTATTGGCTATTGCTCAGTCAATACGATTTGGAGGCAAATACAGC